AAAAAAAAAAAAAAAAAAAAAAAGCGCAGACTCACTGGGTGCTGCCGGGCAGGGGAGCAATCCCTGCTGCCCCCCACTGTCCCATGCTATGTGGGGTGTCCTGCATGAGACTCGCAGCCCCCTCCGCCACTGTCTGAGCTGCTCCCCACCTGCCTGCCCCAGCTCTGGCCCTTTAAGGAAAAAAAAGCCCCCAAAATCCTGGGCTCACCAGTTCCTGCCCAGCAGGGAGGCTATCTCCACTGCCCCACGCCATGTAGGGGGCTCTTCCATGTGTCCCCCAAAGCCCTCAGGATGCTGCAGGAGGTGGTGAGTCCCGGGGGGGGCTGGGGTTTTATTCTTAAAGGGCCAGGAGCTGGGACAGGTGGGGCAGCCATGGGGAGGCTGGGGGAGTGGCAGAGGGTCGGGGGCTTGTAGCAGGGCCCCCCATGCAGCATGGGACAGTGGGGGACAGCACCCGGTGAGTTGGGGCTTTTTTTTAAAGGGCCAGGAATTGGGGTGGGTAGGGCAGCCATGTGGGGGGCTGAGGGAGCAAGCAGGGGATGGGGCCTGGCAGGGGTCCCTGCATAGCACCTTCTCCAATCCCACTTCCCCTGCCCCTGCTTACCAGCTTCAAGCCCTGCTCCAGCTCCCTTCTGCAGTGGACGGAGACTGTCTGAATCTTTGGAGGGCTAATTAGTTGCCAGGTGAAAAGGCAACTTTGGAAGGCTAATTTTTGTAAAGAGGTGAGTGTGGTATGCAAGTAAATACAGGATTTAGTATTCTCATCTGAAAGACTTATTATGGTGAGTTTCTTATAGTTAAGAACAGTGTCACAATGGGGCTAGCTAAACCAGATGTAATTGCTGAATGTATGCAGTAAACTCCTTATATCACAGAATTTGAGTGGCAGACTAAATTATACTGAGAAACTGGAAAGCAGCTTGTTTACGCATATAAATATGTTATTTATGAACAGATTTACATTCGCACACAATGTGTGTGCACGCGTGTAAGAGCATATACATAAGTATACCTAGTTCAAAAAATAAGCTTTTTTCATTTATGATTCAGAGACTGTAAAACTGATATTTGCATTTGCAGAGGCTGTTGGAAGTTGCTTGGGAGAAGTGGGTCCTATTGACTTCTCAACCATAGCCCTTCAGCATAGTAAAAATGTATCGTATTCGAAGGCAACCGATTTATTTGAAGATGGAAAACTTCAGTTAGTATTCATAATGCTGACTCAAATAAATAATGCCTTGATAGATGTTTGGTAAGTACGTGCTTGATTCAGTACATAAAATGGGCCACTGGGGAAGAAAGCAAGTTATTAAAAAAAATATATATATATTTTCTTGTTAATGACCAGTAATTTTCCAACTTTGTTTTTGCATCTAAGCAACAGTGGGTTACAGAACTCAAACAATGAATGATACTGTAGGACACATCACATCCTACATGCAGGCCCATCCTCCTCCTGCTCTCGTGTAGGGCTGTGTAAGCTGATGGGATTGGTTATTTGACTCTCTTCACACTGTATTGGTGGACCAGGAACACTTCTGTAGCATTGTTCATACTACATATTTCTAAACATCCAGAGACTGGTTCAATAACAAGACATTATATTTTTTCTAATATTTATATAATAAACATAATTGATTTTTTTATTTTTTTTATTGCACCCCATAAAACAATAAACTTAGTAAGCTATATGGGCTTCAACTTGGAGTAATACCCCATGGGGAAAGATGCTAGAATTTAAGCTGTTAATGCTGTATAAATGGACCCCTGATTTTCAAGTTACTCATACAGTCCAGCTCTGACCTCTTGTTGGGTTGGATTTAAGCTAGATAATTCTTTTCTCTACTCTGATATTTAGTTCTGCCCAATGCAAATGGGGATATTTGTGTTAGAGTAATGGAACCAATCTTACACATACCTTTCTTCTGGCTTCTATTAGCCTTTGGTTGTGTTTTAATTATTATTCATAAAATAATTTCACAGTCTGTACTTCTTTATTATGAACTTTATAGAACTATTTTTATTAAATAATTGTTAATCAGTTATATTTATCTTTCAGTATTAATGTTCGCTGTGCTGCTGCTTCCTGTTTGAAAAACATTTTAGCGACAAAGACTGGTAACAAATTTTGGGAGGCTTACAAAGACAAAGCTGATCCCATGTTAATATATCTACATCCCTTCAGAATGTCCAGGAAGAAGGTATTTCTGTTAGTTTGTGTACGGCTTGCAATAATGAGAACCGATTACAAATATAAAACTACTGTAAACAAGTAAATATTTCTGGAGACCAGTATTATTGAATCTAGAAAAGATTCTTAAAGTAGTGTATCTTGATGACAGTACATGATAGATTTCTTTTGTAACTCTCTTGCTAGCTTATTTGTTTTTTGTGCCTAATATTGACTATTGTGAGCTATCCCATTAACTAAAAGATCTAATAAGTAAAATGTTTACAAGATTAGTTTGAAATATGCTATGCTGTGGGTCTTTTATTATCGTCCTGGATAAATTACCATCCCACCATCAGGAAGTTCTGATTATACATTTATGAAACAGTTTTTGTTTACATGATAATATTTTTCTGCAAGATGCCTGCCTCATTTAGTGCCCCATATCAAGGCATGAGATGGCAGAACCAACATTATATAGATACCCGTTAATCTGTCATTTCTGTGATTTCAGACACTGGATTTTGTAGCATTAAAGTATTTCTTGATCTCAGGAGAGAGAACTTATTTTCAGCATTTCTAGATTTGCTTGATTTTAAATGCACAACTTTGCATTTACAATAACTTATTACATAATGTAAGCTAACCTTGACTGTATGTTTCATCTAGACAGGCTGTCTTTTGTCTGCTTCATTTTGTTGAAAAGCTACACTTTTGTAGTAGTTCCTATTTTTTAAGACAAAGTAAATATCTTTGTTCTTACAAAAATGTATTTTTGTTTAGTTTTTGGAAGTGCCAGATACTGAAAAAGAGACTCCTTCAGAAGCCATAGATGATGCAAATCTGTGGATTCCTCAGGGTGTAAGTCATGAGACTTGGATAAAGAACCTGACTTGTTCATTGCTGAACAGTGGAGGAGTGAAAGATGAAGTTCTCCTGTTACTAAGGCCAATGTGTGAGGTGAGCTCCTTTGTGTACTGTAGCTCCAGGCAACTGTGTTAAACTTAATTATGACCCGTGTTAACATTTGATACTGTTTTCTGGAGATAAGTAGATTTTTCCTTTGTTTACAGATAGGAGGACATAACCAAAATATTCTTTCTTGATGGGCATTCAGGAAGTCAGTGAAATACACCTTAGAAATGCATAAATATAGGACTTCCCTGGAAATTTGGGACTAAATTATTAAGACAGTTACCATGCAAGTATAACCAAAACAGCCTGATAATGGTGACTTGTATGAAGTTAATTGTAGTGAATATTTGCCTTTCTTTTTTTGAAGGTATAAATTACATGCATTTCTTAAATCCATGATTTCAGTGAAAGGCAGGGGAAAAGTTGTAAACATAACTTTTATGGATCAGGTTTTTTTGAACTCTTGGTTTGCTGTACACACTTGACCTATTTTGTGTCAGGTGGTTTATGAAATTTATCTTCCATTTGCTGTTCAGTATATGTTTTAAATTGGCCAGGAGACCTTGACTGTATTAACAAAGAAATGTGGTTTATCAGCAGCTAATTTTGTGCATCTGTGATTCAGGTGAAAACAGACTTCTGTCAGACTTTGCTTCCGTATTTGATTCATGATATCCTGCTTAATGATTCAAACGAATCTTGGCGCAACCTTCTGTCTGTGCATATCCAGAGGTTTTTCACAACCTGTTGCAGGTGTGTGTCATCCTCTAGTAGATCAACAACACCTGCAAATTCAGATTCAGGTAATGGCATAATGTTTTTCTTTTTATTTTATCATCAATAATTTACAATGCATATTCACTTCTTTCTCTCTTTTGTAATATACATTTTAGAACCAGAATCCCTTGTTCGTAGAAGTTTGGATAAAATATCTCGGCGAGCAATGCTTACTGTTGTTGACCACCTGAGAAGACAAAAGAGGTGAGTTGTATCTCTTTTTAAAATTTACCTGGATATATTGCTTGCTTTAAGTTGCTATTCTAGGATCTATTGATATTCTTGATGGACAGAGAATGTATGCACCCAAAAAAAGGATCTCACTTAAATAAGTGTTAGAGTGATGTTGTATCTTTGATTATGGAATTATGCAAGTGTATGCAACTGTATATAGTTGGTCCAGTAAAAGATATCATCCTAAGAAATCTTTTCCTCTTAAATAAGTGTAATGGAGATCAAACTGTTCCAAATAAGATATATACAATAGTGAGGCTTCATTTAAATACAAGTCTAGGAATGTTGGACGTGTTAGAAAGGCTATGGAAGATAAAGTTGAATGCGGTTTTTAAAACCATTTTGTCTGGAAGTGCCCAATAGGGCATTCGTGTATTTCTTAGAGATAAAATTATACTGGGGTTGTATAGTTTAAAGCACTTGTAGTAGATTTATATTGTTAAATGTAATATCACAAAGCAGGCCTAGTACATCAATATTAATGCTGTATTTCAATAGATCTCTTTCAGGTACCATTTTTGATGACAGTTTCTGGTTGGATCTAAATTATCTTGAGGTTGCCATGGCAGCACAGTCTTGTTCTGCTCACTTCACAGCTTTACTGTATGCAGAAATCTATGCAGACAAGATAAACACAGACAAACAACAACAAAGGTACTGGGCTTGAGGAACCTAGGTTGTCCACATTTCTACCAAAACAGCCTATATTGTGGGTGTTTTACTGTGAAATGTGTATCAGGGAGATGCATTTTTTTAAATCCTTAGAAAAATGTCCTTGCCCTGAGAGTATGTGTCTACCAAAGTTTTGCCAGCCCTTACAGATTGGTACCTATCTGATGTTCAGAATCACAGCATTCTGGTTACCCACCAGAATACTTGAAAAGCTGTTCCCAAGATAGTCTAGTAACTTGGGACCAGCTAGAGACAAAAGCTAATGCATTCTACTGTCCACAGGCCTTCCCTCTCATGTTCCAGAAGGGAAGGTGTATTCAAAATCTAACCCTAATAGTTAATGAGAGATTGGCTGCTAAAATTATATCAGAAATGAAAACATGTTAAAACAGAATGGTACTCAGCATGGTTTTAGCATTCAGTGTCTTGTGATATGCATAATATAAAAGTGAAGGGGGGGATGTAAAGCTTTTAATCATCTCCTTCAGGCTATCAGTCCTTTTTTAACACTGCTACAAGGCTGAAAGTAGCAAATTCTGTACTTCGGATGAGAATAAATAATAAGGGAGAATTGAAAGCAGTGAGCAAGAGGATATTAGAATTACAGAAAAGTAGGGCTGGATGGGCCTCAGGAGGTCATCTCTAGTCTAACCCCTTGCTTCAGGCAGCAGTATCCCTGTCTAAATCATCCTAGACAGTGTTAGTCTAATCTATTCTTGAAAAACTTCAGGAACTACCCTCATGCAGAGATACCTGTCATAATGCCCAAAACATCCAATACATCCTTTAACTTGCCATACGAAAAGCAAAGAGATGGAGGGCAGCGTTAGTTTCCTGCCTCTGCAAAGACAGAAAGTTGTTTGTTAAAATAAATTCAACCGATCCCAGGAGAATACCCTGAGATGTAAGCATAGATGTACTGCAGTTTGTGTTACTGTTTCAAAGCAAGACTGAATGCTTACTTTTGGCACACAAAACTATACGTATCAGCAGCTTGATGCGATGAGAAATGTAGATAATTCTGGAGTTAAATACTTCTGCATTAACTGTTACAAATGAGAGAAATTACCTTCATGTTGAAATCCCATAAGTAACTACAAATAGTTAAAAAGAAGCAATTTACTTGAGAGCATATCTGTGGGCTCTCGTGTCTCCTTGGTTTTGCTGCATTTAGATAGCACCTGAAGAACCTCCACTTTGTGTAGGATTGATGTCCCCAGCCTAGCCTTACTACTCTGATGCCCTACTTGCAGCAGAGGCCATTCTAGGAATGTGGAGATACAATGAGGTTGGGCCAGCACACTGGGGACATGACACATCATTTCAATATCTGTGTCCTTTAGTGTCAGCTTTCAGTTAATTCAGTGTGTTTTTCCCCTCCTCCTAGATCAGCTTTGAAAGCTTCCAAAAATTTAATGTTTGAAGAAGAAAGTCAAGATCCAACTATTGCTCGTTTGAGTGAGAAAAGTAGAGAAGAAACTGGAATAAGTTTACAGGTACAGAGTACTGTCTCCCTCACACAAAGTACTATCTAATCTCAGAATAAACCTTCCTGATGAAGTAATTAGCACGTCATTTTCCACCTGATTTTCATCAACACTTTAATTAATATTTTTGATCTGTTGTATATCAAAGTTATCTTTATTGAGTTGGGTCCTCAAGAATTCATCAGGCCATGCTTATGACTAGCTCATCTTAATTACTAAGGAGGCAAATGTTTAAAGCATAGGGAAACAGTTTTTACCCATAAAAAGAACTGATCACAGTGGTTACATTTGACTTTTTTTTTTAATTCCAGAGAAGTTGCTATGTATGTTAGTATTCAGTAAACAAGGGGGGAAATTGTATTGCAGTGAATTATAAAATCTTAAGGACAGAGCTGTCAGATCAACATAGCTTTACTAGTGTTACATAATAGGACACTGCATTCAGATCATGTTGTACAGATCTATTTATGAATCTGGTCAGTAATCACTCTCAATGACCATATACTTCTTTCTTTCTAAACCATATTAATCTCTTAAAAACACAATTTTTTGCTTTTGTCTGATACAGATGCATTTTATGCTACCTTCCACTTTACTCAAAACACAAAAACTGGCAGCATCTCTCAGATCAGTAGCCCTACAACACTGTAGGACTGCTGATCTGAAAGGGTTCAACACTGGAGTTCCTACTGAAGTGCAGAACTCTGTATTCTTCCCTCTGATCACAGGGGTGCAGCTGTTGCATAAACCAGCCATAATGAGGCATTGGTAAACAAATTGTGGGTTCATAATGAAGACAGAGGTATTTGCCTGCTGCAGGTAACTATGCTTTGAAATCATTTATGAAATTATGGTGGGGTTTTTTTGTGATGTGTGTCTTAGGATCTTCTCATGGAAATATACAGAAGTATAGGAGAGCCTGATAGTCTCTATGGCTGTGGGGGAGGAAGAATATTACAGCCTTTAGCCAGGTATGGTTTATTAATTAATGTATTGATTTTATTTGCCAGTAAATCATTTGAAATTTCAAAGCTACTTTTTGTGTAACAGGATAAGAACATATGAGCATGAGGCTGCATGGGGAAAGGCCCTTTTAACATATGACCTTGAGGCAAGCCTCCCTTCGTCTGTGTGCCAAGCAGGAATAATAGAGGTAAATCAGTCCCTTAGTAAGAGAATCAGTGAGGACTATAGGGTATTCTTTGTTTAATTAAGGTCGAAACTAATTTAGCAAGGAATTCAGAACAAATTGAACCTCATAGTTTATTGATGCCCAACTCAACCTGGCCCACAGGCCAGATGAGTGTTACAGGGCCAGTCTGCAGGCTGGACCTGGAGCTGGAATTTGGCGAGAGTACAGTATTAATTGCTGTGGCTCCCGGAGCTGCAGCTGTTCCCACTGCCAAATTTCCAGGCCCAGAGGCAGGTGACACAGCTCTGCCCAGATCCAACTTACAGGGCTCACAAGGATGAATGGACAGTGCAGGGCAGGATGGGTGGTGGTAGCATTTATTGCCATTGCTTCTAGAGCTGCCCACACTCCCAAGTTTCCAGACCTGTGAGAAGCCCTACAGGACAGATCTGGCCCATGAGCCAGATTTTTAGATAACCTGGGTCAGGGATTACAAATCCTTCCACTTGCTGTCATAGACAACCATGTAATGTGATACCATTCATAAATTCAATCAGGCTTCATTCTGAACATAGTTCGATTACTCTCTGCAACTGTTGGAAAGTTTGTTTCAGAATCTCACTCTGATGATAAAAACCTTCTAATACCTATCCTAAATTTATCCATGGACAGATTATACCCATTTGTTCTTATACCAACATTGTCCTTTAGTTTAAATATTTCTTTACCCTGCCTGATGGTTAACCCCTGACCTAATTATAAAAAACAATTTTATTTCTAGGCTCATTTAAAGCCAAGTTTTTTTTAATTTCCTTCTGTAAGGTAGGCTGTTCATTCCAGTTATCATAACAATACTTCTCTGACTCTGTTTCCAGTTTGAATTCATTTCCCTTGAATATGGATGACCATAATTGTACACAATGTTTCAGATGAGGTTTCTCAAATATCTTTTCCAATGGTATCGATACTTTTGAAGTAACTCACCTAGCGTTGCATTTGGCTTTTCCATGGTTGCATCATGTTGGTGGGTCACAGTCATCCTGTGATCAGTGTACCAAAGTCTGTCTCCTCCAGTGTCATTCCCAACCGATGAGCCTCCAGCTAACTGTAGAAATTCTTATAAGACCCCCAAATGAACAAACTTTCATTTTGTACCATTACATTTCATCTTACATTACATCTTATTTCTAGCATATCTGTTTTCAAGTTCATTAATTTGTTTCTGTATGACAGTCTGATTCTCTCCCACACTGGTACTTCCTCCCAACTTTGGGTGCAGCAAATTTCATTTGTTCCAAGGTTAATAAAGACAAGCCACAAACCAATCCTTGAGGAACATCCCTAAGTACCCTTATGCCACACCAGTATGTACCTTAGAGTTGTAGTGTCCCATCTACATCCTGATATCATTGTGGTGGATGTTCTTCCAGGAGCCCTTTTCTTATGCTTCCCTTCTGCATGGTGAGGATGGTACTTTTTGTACCTTTAGGCTTAAAGAGATTCCTCCTCTGTATTCAAGTCTTTGAGGTCTTTGATCTATTTTACTATACCAGCTAGTTTCCTTAATTTCTGAAGCTACCCTTTTGAAATAAAAAATGTAGTTGCAACTCTGTTTATCACTACATCCAATGCCAGCATTGTCCACTAACTTAAATATATCCACTGTATGGTTTTGTATTAATGTGATCTGGTAATCTGTTGACTTGGATAGATAGAGCTTTGGGTTTTGACGTATTTTTGTATGTATAGAGGACCTTAAGCTTTGTTTTTATCAATATGGAAGGATATATTGTAGTTTCATTTTTGAAGCTGACCATCTTGTGCCATTACCATTGCCAAAGAGTTCAAGCAAGGCATAGTTAATCCTTTATTCAGAATGGAGACATAAGAACACAAGTAAAGCAGGAAGAATTGACACTGGTTACTCTAAATTATGTCATTTAAATCTAATGCTTCAAATAGTAATGAGGGGCACTTTTCTGCTGTATGTTTTAGCTGAAAAAAGTAAAATCGCAGTTGAAGCTCATCCTGCGACATTTTGTTAGCACTAGGGGGATGTTCACCCCAATTTGATGGCCATATTCCAACTGAGATGGCTACATTTTGGCTATCAAAATATACTTTGCAACTTCACTAAATGCTTTTCACTATCATAGTGTTTTAAGTCAGAAATAATACTAGTTCCATGTCTGGAACTTTAGTAGCCAAATGATAAGCAAATCCTTTTCTCTTTCATATTAGTAAATATTGCTTTTTTTTTAATATTCTCCCTGGTTGTAGGCCTTGCAGAATTTTGGACTTTGTCATACGCTTTCCACCTATTTAAAAGGATTGGAACATGAAAACACAGAGTGGTGTGCAGAACTAGAGGAAATTCGCTACCAGGCAGCTTGGAGGAACATGCAGTGGGGCCACATCCCTTCAGTCAAGTAAACCATCTTCTCTGGTTTTAGATCTCTGTAGTATTGAAGGGCATATGATATTAATTCTTTTAACGGCAGGAAAACCCTGCACGCTTCTGTAATCTCCTTAGCCTCCCAGGATCAGAGTGGAGAATAGAGGCAGCAGTGTTGCAGTAATGTGTGGTGTAAAAACTGAAGTCAATGAATTCTTCAGGTCTGCTGGAACAGCTAGACAGTTGAGCATTTGGGCTGAAAACTGGAGGAAGGAGATAGCAAGAGATAGGAAAGCTAAGGAGAACAAGTAAAGATACGGGGTAAGGAACAGAAAAGGAGAAGAGACCAGGTTTTTTTTTTTTAAACCTTTATTCTCTTTTTCCCCATCTTTTAAAATGTCAATACAACTAAAGGCAAAGAGCTGTTAGTATATTGCTTATGGTACATATTTGGAAACAATCAGCAAATACAATATGAAATGTAATTTTCATGCATTGGGAGGGTTGTGTTCAGATTTGTAGATATACTATAGGTTATTTGGGTTTTTGGCATTATGTATCCCTTTAATGTAACTGTGAACATGTTTCTTTGAGACCAACACTCATTCAGCTTAACCATTTTTAAAATAACTGTCTTCATGGTTTACTTGTAAACCATAGGTTGGGTCTATTCACTAAAAACTTTTCTTTATATTTTTTAGCCAAATAAAATAGCACTCTGCCCACTACTGGAAACTTCCTGGTATTACCTCTTATTCAGTCAGCTATTCTGTTCATTTTATGAAGGTGGCCACCTTTTTATCAGGGGTATCAAATTTATGGCCCCTAAAATCATGCTGTATGACCCACTTGGCTCTTAAAGAATCCAGGAATTTGTGGGTGGGGTGAGTGTGGGCAGGCCTACTGCCAACACTGGAGGCACAGAGTCCCATTGGCAACAGTTTTCTGTGGTGGGGAGTGAGTGACAGCTGCATTAATAATCCCCATAGTCACCAGTCAACTTGCTGCTGCCGTGCTTGGATCTGAACTGCATGGAGTCCTGTGGTCTGGATCCAACCTGGGAGGAACCCCAGAGTCCAGAGCCATCCCGGGGGGGAGCAGGATAAGTATGACACCCCTGGTTTATATCAAAGCCAGGTCTAGTGGTTAGTTTTTTAATCATGAAGGTCATTTCTGGCTTTGGGTGTAAGCATTGTTTCTAAATCTTTTTTTAAGAGATGAGGCAAAAGGACCAAGTTACCATGAATTGTTGCATGATGCTCTGCAGTCTTTAAGAGATAGAGAATTCTCTACTTTCTATGACAGTCTTAAGGAAGCCAGGTAAGAAGCATGTGTCTAGACATTCTACATATGGAAAACTGTTGTGGTCTTTGGAGTTTGGACAAAATATTGTCAGTATAAGAAAATGGAAATTTGTCAGTTGTAACTTAACTTGTACATTTGAAGCATAATTCTTTTGCATCAATATATAAGGCATTTTAATTTTAATGGAGGGTGCATTACTGCTACAAGGCCAGAAATGTTGTTGTTTTGTAAAGTGGCTTTTGTGGCCTCAAATGTCACGTACCTGAAACCTTTTTGAAAAGAGGTGTAATATCCTTTTGTACACAAGTTATCTGGAATGAGATATATATATATATATATATATATATATA